GCTTTGCAGTTCTGGCTCCTTTTTTGAGGAGTTAGTGAGACTAGAACCTCCCTTGTCAATACCCTTGAGAGATCCCCAAGCTCAAAATAACAAAACAGCATTGCTCTTATAGGATTACTCTTATATTCTGCTGTGCTTCAAGAGGGAGTTTTACCTGAAGGAAATCCTTAACCTCTAAAAATGCCAATAACGTAGGAGCAGAAACCATGCAGTGATTCCCAGCAATGCTCTCGTGCCAGTTTCATTGCTTCAGTTTCATTTGCAGACCCTTTACCATGTTGCATTGGTTTTATAAGAGGTAGTATTGGAGGTTTCCCTGTCTTCTTTACAGAGCTTCTACCTGCTCCCTTCGTAGAAGTTGAAGTTTTCTGGACTGATTTGTCCTGATTTGCTAGATCTTCCGGCTCCATGCCAGCAGCTATTTGCTTCATAACAGCCTCTGTGGGAGCCTTTTGGCACATGGTGGCCTTCAACACCTGAGTAGATTCACAAGCATGTGGGAGCTTTCTAAGTTCCACGGCAATCTGGTTCCAGTAAATCTTTGGATTCTTTCTGAAAGGACGACAGACTGATGGCTTGCCAGTGAATTCACACCAGTAAGACTTGCCTTGGTTTTTGCATTCAATTCTAAGTTTCATCTCCTCATCCCCGCTCACGCTCATTGTGCAGACATCTTTGGCTTTAGTCCGAAAATTGATTTCTTCACCGTTGCTTCTTTTCTTTGGTTTCAGCTTCTGTCCTAATCCTCCCATGCCACAGATCACTACTAGGAAAAGAAGAGTAACGCTCTTCATGGTGAGAGGGGCTGAGATCCTTGAGCGATCCGAAAAAGTGAAAGTAGCAGCTTGCTGTTCACAATTTAAAGGCTTGCTGTACAAAGAAGCCTCTTTCCAGCTAAAGGTGGGATGTGTATATATGTATTTTTTAATAATAAATCACCCTTCAGTATGCATGTGCCCATAATTTATAGCCCAAGGGAGTGTCAAATAACCTGTGAACTCCCAAGAAGGTAACAAGACAAATCTTGTAAATGCACTTAAATACAGCACGATAGTTGCATAACTAAGAAGCACATTCCTATCCAGGATGAACATGTCGTATTTGATTTTTAACAGGTATTTTCCATTCTCCAGCTCCTTTATAGCTATCTTCATGCCATAACTTGTCAGCCCATATCGAAGTAAACAAAATAAGAGTGCCAAAACAACTTATGCAGCTGTGTCTACATCTATGAATACATCCTATTAATAAAAACTGATTTATGAAACTGGTTTTCTGTGGATTTGCGCAGTAAGGATGTGACATTAGTACTTCATTTTGTCAGCATTTGACATACAGCATGGACACATGGAATACCCTGACAGAATCAACTGCACAGTCTTTGATCCATGCAAGATTTTTAGACTTGCAACGTTTAAACAAGATAAGAATTAAAGCTTTATCAGCATAAAATATTATGGGCCTACACATAAACCAGATATCTAAAAATTTTGTAATCATTGCCACTCCAAGGGTTATTTTCAGCCAACAGTGCAAGGCATAAGAACCAGTTTATGATGGGTCTTGGCTCAGTAATGGGGAATAGACCCCAAAAAGCATGATCTAGCCGTTAAGATGTGCTTTATCACCTTCTGTCCTTAGCTTTTTTATATTTTCCTGTTCACAATAAATGAGCTGTAAAAATACCATAAATCAATGGCAAGAGAACAGAAATATTTTAGTGTGGAATTCTGTAGCAACTAAAAAGAGCTAAGAAGAATCATAACTCCCTTGGCATTCAGGAGGTCATGAGACGAAATCCCTGCTGTCTTGTTGTATGTGACAAAACTAAGCTCTGGCTAATGAGACTCCATTAGGCACGTCTTTCGCAAAGATATCTACACTACACCCAGCCTGACTTGAACAGCTTGTGAAGGAGCATTATATTATTTTGGTGCACTTGAATAACTATGGGATGCTAGAAAGCCTGGGCTTAAAAACTGCCATATGTACAGGAATAGAATAACATATTGTATATTTAGCTGCTCAACAGGTATCACTAAACAAAATTTAAAGACAAAAAAAATCACTTAATACAGACTTACAGTGAAGCAAATCAAAAAAATAAAATCTGAAAAAATGCTCAGCTAATACTTGACAATAGACATTGTCCTTAGCTGCTCTGGGGTCTCAGCCATTCTCAACAGCCTGATACTAGTCTTTTCCCTCTTTGCCCCTCTCTGTTCAAAGACTTCAAAACTCTTAAAAAATACTTTACACTAGTTTCAGATCTCTGTGAAACATCCTATTTTTTTTTAGCTGCTGAAGACATGGTATTCATGAAAACAAACCAGACTACAAGGATAAAGACGAAGACAAAGGCTTGGACTCAAGAGCTCTGGCATATGTATTATGTATTGCAGTTAATATGTTGCTGACAGCCGTTTGTCCCACTTCCATCTGACATTTGTTTCCTTACAAAAGTCTGCCTGTGCTTCAGAGGAAACAGTTCGTGGTCTGGTATATTACTGAAAAACAATTGTTCTTTTATAAACCTAAGCTAAGATGTCAGCAGTGAACTGTGGGAGCTAAGAATGGCAAATTCTTAACTCTGCTGTCTGTGCCATACAGACAACAGTAGAGGCTAGCATTAACACCTTTAACACTTGTAGGATATATGGATATCCTCCGCATCTCAGAAGCTGGGATTCAGCATCTCTGCATAAATAACATTCTTCATGGCAGTTTGAAGCTCACTCACACAGAGCCAATGTTCCCACTGCTCCATTTCTTAGTCTCTCACCTTGCTTAAGTTAAAATTTTTCTGATAAAGTCAATATTCTGACATTTCACAGAAACTTTCATAAGGACAAAAAGCTTGTGATTTTCATAGGATCTTAACTCACTGCAGCACCTCCCTCTGAAAGAGACCTTTATATAAACAATTGAGACTCAAACACCAGTTAGTTAACCAAGTTCTTTTTATTTAAATGAACTGGGAACATTTGCTCAAATTAAAAATAGAAACTTTTAAATATCTACAGTTCTGAACATTATATATACACATACGCTACATACTGTCAGTTAGAAATGTTTCCACTATGACCTAAAAATTAAAAAATAAGGTTATTCCAGATTAAAAACTGGTACCACTTTTCAGCATTTCTTTAAAATCATTTCAGTGATTTTCAGGATTATCCCTACTTTAAGCCAATAAACCTTGCTGGAATCAAAGTTAAGAATACTGGCACATGAAAAAACAGTTTTAGCTCAATATACCCAATAATTTCATCTTCTGTAATGTCTTACACTAGTAATAGAGACATTTGTGGCTGTTTTGATTAATTCTGCTGTTAACGTAATTCAGCAACACAACTGTATGCCTAAATTCAAGGAAGTAACTGAAACAGTAGGAATGTAAATCCAGCTGCAACATGTTTGAATTTCAATATCAGAAGTCACATTTTAAAATTACTTAGCAAAAATAGAATCAATGGCTGCTGAAAGAGTCACAATTTAACAATGATATCTATTAAAGGACATTATAGAAACAGGTGTGAAGGAGGAAAAGAGAAGAAACAATGTAAAGCATTCTAAAAGTCACCAACATTATGACATCTCTCATGCTCTTTTTGAGTACTACTGAAATCTAGAAAGCTTGGCTTTTTTGCCATATTATGCATCACACGCGCTCCCAACCCTCCCACCCAAACACAGTTTCAAACTTCTCCAAACAGTCCCTTATTGTCTATAGTCTATACCGCAAAAAAACACTAAATATTAAATAATTCAAAAAGAGGGAAAAAACAAAACTGTAACTGAAATTCAGAGACAAAGAGACACCGTGGATCCCATTACATTTAAAATTTGGTCAAAAGTGGTCATTCAAGAGCACCAAACAGCAACACTGATCATGCTGGTAAATTCATTTGTGAAGTATATTATACAATATTAAAATCTTAACTAAACATTTATAAGTTTTAAGAAAAATGTATATACAAAAGTCTCTGTATATAAAATGCATTTTTTATGTAAACATGTATATACTGTATTTAACACAACCCAGCAATTTAAGAACTTAACCAATTGTCAGGGAATAGCTAAGCCAAGTCTGTCAACCTAATGAAATTATATGCTGTGATGTAAGATAAAAAGCCCAGTGTAAAAAAGTAAAAAAAAAAAAAAAAGAAAAGAAAAAAAAAAGAAAAAGAAAAAATTAATTCTAGCCTTGAACAGTGGTATTTGAGAGGCAGTGCCCTGGTCACAAAGTATTCTGTACAGTAGTTTATGGCATAACACTCAATAGTATATTTGTGATTTACAGTATGGGTTACATAAAACGAGTGGCTCAGTATTTGGAAGATGAATGCAAACACCAATACACTTGGAAGACGAATCTTGAGCCTCATTTCTCTAACCTGGAAATAATCACAAAAACAATTCAGAAAAATTTGATGAAAAAAAATCACAATGTAATTTAATCAGAATGCAAGTATAGATTTAATATGAACATCACTATAGGTGAACATTTATTTATTTATCCTGCAACATTCATGCTACTGGAAGTATAGCAGCTTTATTAAACATAGCAAAGTAGTAATAGATTTGGAATCAATTTTAAAAGCTCATTGCTTACCCCTTACTGTGTCCAGTATCTGCTACCACTGTTCCACAGAGCTACACAAGAAAAACAAAGCCCCAAAATGTAATTTTCTTTAGTCCACAAATGGAACAAAAATACTGTGTATAACTGTAACAGGAGCAGGCTCATTTGGCACAAACTGTTCTCAAAATTTTACCCATATAATAAAGAATCTTTCAAAGAAGAGAGAATAGATTCACGGTTTTTGCCAGAAACCTTTCCTGTTTTCTTTGGTATTAGGATAGAAACAAATGCTTGGATTACCAGTTCAACCCCACCGACCTCCACTGAGCCCTTTAATCCAGCCTCCAATTTTGCTCACACAAAAGTGCGAGTGTATTTGATGTTATTTAGATTTCTCCTGTTTATATTTGTATAAATATCTCATACTAGTATTTTATATACATCTCTCATAGATTTCATTTATATATTTTATAAAGAGAGAGATTT